CAATAATAACAGTTAATTTAACCACAACTTCAAAAAAGTTAACCTAGTAGCTACTTTCGGAGCCCTGGTGGCGCAGTGGTTAAGAGCTCGGCTGCTAACCTAAAGGTTGGCAGTTGGAATCCACCTGGTGTTCCTTGGAAACCCTATAGGGCAGAGTAATTCTGTCCTGTGGAGTCGCTACGAGTTAGAATTGACTTGACGATAGTGGGTTTGTTTTTTGGGTATTAGTTACTTTCAGAGGAGTTGGTTCTCAATCAACTAACATTCATGGAGCGCTCAACACACGTGAGCTTGTTGGATTCTCACAGTGAACCTAGGGGGTGGGTGCCATGTCAAAGATAAAGAAACCGAGGCCCAGAGGGGGTAAGTCACTCATACAAGGAAGTGACAATTCCAAGGTAATATCAATATTGTGTCTATGATTTGTTAAGTATATACAATGTGCCCAGAAAATGCTTAGCTTGAAGGTTCAGAAAACAGTCTCTGAAGTGGGATTTCCTGAGTTTGAACCTAGCCTCTGCCAGTTCCACCACCCGTCTGTCAGTTTGTCTTAGTCTGGTGTCCTGCGTGTAGCTGTGATGCTGGAAGCTATGCCACTGGTATTTCAAACACCAGCAGGGTCATCTGTGGCGGACAGGTTTTTACAGGAGCTTCTGGACTAAGACAGATGAGGAAGAAAGGCCTGGTGATCCACTTCTGAAAATTAGCCAGTGAAAATCCTGTGGATTACAATAGACCGTTGTCAGATATAGTGCTGGAAGATGAGCCCCCTAGGTTGGAAGGCACTCAAAATGAAACCTACCAACAATTGTGAGGATGGCGCAGGACCACCCAGCATTTTGTTCTGTTATACACAAAGTCACCATGAGTCGGAGCCAACTTGACGGTAATTAACAACAACTCCACCAGTTAGTAGTCACATGACTTCAGGCAAGCAGTCCTCTGTGCCTTGGTTTTCTTATCTGTAAAAAACTGGGTGCAGGGAGGATTGTAAATCATAATCTCTGCCTCACTGGGCTGTTGTGAAGATCCAATGAACACTCTGACTGAAACAGAATAATTGACAAACATTAGCTGGAGTCACTGGGTGTGCAAACAGTTAATGCAGTTGGCTGCTGAACAAAAGGTTGGAGGTTCAAGTCCACCCACAGGACCTCAGAAGAAAGGCCTGCTGATCAACTTCCAAAAAACCAGCCCCTGAAAACCCTATGGAGCACAGTTCTACTCTGACACATATGGTGTTGCCATGAATCCAAGTCGACTTGATGGCAACTTTTTTTTTAACTCAAAGAAAAGACCTTTCTTTTTTTTGGGGGGGGTATTTTAATTTTGGTGAGAATATATACAGAACATACACGCATTCATCAATTTCTGCATGTACAGTTCAATAACATCGGTTATATTCTCCACATTGAGTCACCATTCTATCTCGACCAACATTGTTTTATCATCTTGATTTAGACTCACTGTCCCATAAACTACTCATCTGTGCTTCAGGGTTACTGCTGACTATTTGATGTCATATAGATAATTCTTTACAAGAGCACAATGTTTACAGTGGACATTCTTTACTAATTTAGCTGAAGAGTATTTAAAGATAACTTCAGGTGATAAATTTGGTTCATGGCTTGAAGATTTTTTCACAGTGATAGATTCAGGCGTTCTTTCATTCTCAATAGTTCCAGTAATTCTGGATTCTGTAAGAATTTTAAATTCTGTTTTACAATGTCCCCCTTTTGATCAAGAATCACGATTCCTTGATTGACACATTCAGCACTGGTAGCTAGGCACCATTTAGTTCTTATGCACGATTCCTTGATTGACACATTCAGCACTGGTAGCTAGGCACCATTTAGTTCTTATGGTCTCATGGGTAAGCAGGCAAGTAGTTCATGAAGGCTGGAAATAAAATCTTGACACTTTATAAAAAATACTGGGTCTCAGTTTAATAAAGTTGGCAGAATTTCCAAACACTAGGAATGGTAGGGAATTTAGACCTTGCTAATTTAGTTAGCTACACTTGAGTTCATCAGATTCCACAAAAACACTGCCAAAGTCATTGTGTGAGTAATTATTTTGCAAAAGGAAATTCATCACACCTATTCAAAAGCTTTACTCTCCAGAAATACTGATTATGCAAAAACTACATTAAAATAAAAATAAAACTAAAAATTTGCACGAGTATGTATCTATGCATGGTTGAATGCAAAAATTATCTGCATTTCTTCTCGTCCTGGCTGATCACAGCCATCCATAAATTTGTTGCTCACTAAACTGTCCTGGGTGACTATGAGGCTATCACTGGACTAGGGGCTGGTGGTATAAAGATGAATATAGCTTCAAGTGGAACTGAACCTCCCAGGCCTTGGCTTATTTATAGACAAAATGGTGATAATACCTATTATACAATTTATTGAGAAGATCAAAGGAAATATCACATCTCAAGCACTTTTCAGATTGTCTAGGATATAGGGGGAAAAAGAAAACTAAACCCATTGCCTTTGAGTTGATTCGAACTCATGGCAACCCCACATGCTTTAGAGTAGAGCTGTGCTTGATAGGGTTTTCAATGGCTGTGACCTTTTGAAAATACTTCGTCAGGACTTTCTTCTGAGGTGTCTCTGGGTGGATTTTTTTTTTTTTTATTTTTTCCCACACAAAAATTTACACATACATTGTTAAGTGACTCTAATTGCTCTCCCCATACTGTGACAGCACACTCCGCCTTTCCACCTGATTCCCCATGTCCATTCAGCCAGCTACTAACCCTCTCTGCCTTCCCATCTCACCTCTGGACAGAAAAGACCTTCCTAATAATCAGAGCTGGTGTCTGAATAAACGGGCTTTCTTGGGTAGATGCGAGACCCCCCAGTTGGAAGTGTTCATAAAACATTCAAGGTGTGATATTGAAGGTGTTTCTGCAACAGGAGAATGGTTGACTACTTGAACTTTAAGGTACTTTCAAAAGCCATTATTCTATGAACAAGGAGCCATGGTGGTGCAAAGGTTAAGCACTTGACTACTAACCAAAATGTTGACTGTTTGAACCCGCTCAGTGGCTTCTTGGGAGAAAGACCTGGTGATCTGCTCCCGTAAAGATTACAACCTAGAATACTCTACTGCGCAGTTCTACTTTGTCAAATGGGGCCACTATTAGTCAGAATTGACTCGACAGCAACCAACAACAACAACATTCTATGACTGGAGTATTTTAGGAGGTGATCTAAAATTTACCCATTTTTTTTTTTTACCTTTCAGAATTGGTTGCCCATTTACACCCGCCAATTCAAGGTAGGCAGACATCTCTTTTTTGTTAGCATCTCAAATGTTAACCCAGACCAATTAAACAATATTATATTCCTGAATATTCCTTGCGCTTTCTTGCCATTTTACCCTTTTCTTTACAGACCCTTCCTGCTCATGATTACATTTTGAAGTTATGCAAACATTCTCAGCATCCGTCTCCAAATTGTTCCACCACCATTGACTTAAACTCACTGCCCTCATACTTCTCATCTAACCTTTAGAGTTGCCATTGTCAATTTGATCTCACATAGATAATTCTTTAAAAGAGCACAATGCTCAAAGCAGACATACTTTACTGCATTTTACACAAATAACGCATGGCTTTTGCGTTTGTTTGCTGGCCCAGCCTTCCCCCGTGAGGCACCCTCATGCCAATCCTCTTCCACAAGTTGCTGTAAAACAATTAACATAACTTGCTTATGAAAATACCTTGTGAGGGGAGAGCGTGGCCAGGAAACAAATGCAGAAGATGTGCATTATTTGTGTAAAAATATGGTACTTATTAATATTTTAAGATCCAGTTCAGTCTCACCCTTCCAAGGGAATCTTCCCCTAATTCTTCCTTACTTAGTTCTGCTCCTTCCCTTCCAAGAAAAAAATCTCTTCTCTGTTGGAACTAAGTTCTGTATTTGTGGGGTTTTTCTATTATTTTTAGCAGCTGTATTGAGGAATAATCTACACACCATAAATTTGACCATTTTAAGTGTACAATTAAATGATTTTTAGTAAATTTAAGGAATTGTGCAAACATCACCACAATCCAGTTTTAGAACATGTCCATCACCCAAAAAGATCCCTCATGCCCATTCACAGACACCCTCTGTTCTCATCTGAAGCCCCAGGCAACCACTAATCTAGTCGCTGTCCCTATAGATTTGTCTTTTCTGGACATTTCATATAAACAGAATCATACATGTGATCTTTTTCATCTGTTTTTAAATTAAAAATTTAATTATGAGAGTAATATGTGTTCATCATAAATAGCTTTGCCTCTAAAAGTAGGGATAGTCAAGTCAGTGAAAAAGAAACTTTGGTTACAAAAATGGTGATTGATTTTTTTTTTTTATTTTGATGAAAATATACACAGTCACACACCATTTCAACAGTTTATACAGGTACACTGATTACATTCTTCAAGGTGTGCCAGGATACTCACCATCTTTCTCTGAATTATTCCACCACCAGTGACTTAAACTCACTATTCCCTAAGCTTCTCATCTAACCTTTTGAGTTGCCATTGTCAATCTGATCTCACATATATAATTCTTTAAAAGAGGACAATGCTTGAGGTAGACATACTCTATTTAAAAGTATACATCGTATACTTCCATTTATATGAAATGTCCAGAATAGGTAAATCCATAGAGATAAAAAGTAAATAAGTGGTTGCCGCCTGCTTGGGGGAGTGGAGGGATGGGGAGTGATTGCTTAATGGGTTCAGGGTTTCCCACTGGGGGTGATGCAAATGCTGTGGAGCTAGACAGAGGTGATGGTTGCTCAACATTGTAAACGTACTAGTGGCACAAAATTGTACACTTTGAGAAGGTTAATTTCATGTTATGTGAATTTAACCTTGATTAAAATAATACATTTTTTTAAAAAAAGGAAGTCAGAAACTCCAGCCTGCTTCCAGCTCTGGGTGGAAATAAAAGATCTTTTGTGCCACACACAGGGTAGGTAGGTAGATCAGTAACATGTGGATGGGGAGCGAGAGGAGCAAGCATGATGCCGGTTATCCCGAGGGACATTTGAAAGTCGATTCCCTTGGTAAGTTTGCACTACATTCAGCGTTGTATTCTCTTTTCCAGAATTTATTCATGGTACCTGTATCTTTCCATTTGTCTATGGCGATGGAATCTACTACAATTGCATCTCGATCCACAGTGACTATGACTGGTGTTCTCTTGACGATCATTTCCAAGGCAGGTGGCGGTACTGCACAGGGCTTGGTGAGTATCCCTGTGGCGGGCTATCTTGGATGCCTAAGGCCTACGAAACTGTTGATCACAGCCGACTCTCTGGTTTTTGGTGTCAGGTTGACCTGAGTTCAAGCCCTGACTTTTCTACCAAATGGTTGGATGGTCTTGGGTCCTTGAGGTAACCTCTCTGAACTTCAGTTTCCTCATGTGTGAAAAGGGAGTAATGATATGTAGATTTTTGATATGAATGAAAGCAGAAGCACTGTCCAATAGAACTTTCTGGAAGGATGGAAATGCTCTCTGTCTGTGCTGTATGACACAGTAGCCACATGTGGATTTTGAACTTCTCAAATGTGGCTAGTGCAACCAAGGAACTAAATTTTCTTTTGTATTTAATTTTAATTAATTTAAATCTAAATAGCCATATGTAGTTAGTGGCTACCATATTGGGCAGTGCAAGCATATAGCATTTCTTCTTGGCACAAATAGTTGTAATACTAATATTCTGTCTTCCCTTCCTTTCCTTTTCTTCCTTCCTCTAGTGTTACCACATCTCCTCTACTCTTCCCTCTTTATCTCTATCTCCATAAAAATCGTCTTTCCAAGTTTCAGCAGGCAATCATACTTGCCGAGGAATCCTGTGATTTTGTGAAAATTATACCTAGAAATTAACAAAAAAAAAAAAAAAAAGCAATCATAAATGTTGTTAGGTGCCATCGAGGTGATTCTGACTCATATGACCCCGTGTGACAAAGCAGAACTGCCCCATGGGGTTTCCTAGGCTGTAATCTTTATGGGAGCAGATCACCAGGTCTTTCTCCTGGGGAACCACAGGGTGGGTTTGAACCGCCAATCTTTCGGTTGGTAGCCAAGTGCTGCAGGTAGCAGCACTACCAGGGCTCCTTAGTGGTGGTAATAGTTGTTGTTAGGTGCCGTCAAGTTGATTCTGACTCATAGCAACACTATGTACAACAGAACGAAACATGTCTGGTCCTGAGCCATCCTCACAATCGTTGTTATGCTTGAGCCCATTGTCCCAGCCACTGCGTCGATCCATCTTCTTGAGGGACTTCCTCTTTTTTGCTGACTGTCTACTTTACCGAGCATGATGTCCTTCTCCTGGGACTGGTCCCTCCTGCTAACATGTCTGAAGTATGTGAGATGAAGTCTCGCCATCCTTGTTTCTAAGGAGCATTCTGGCTGTACTTCTTCCAAGACAGATTTGTTTGTTCTTCTGGCAGTCCATGGTATATTCAATATTCTTAGCCAACACCATAATTCAAAGGCATCAATTCTTCTTCACTATTCCTTATTCATTGTCCAGATTTTGCATGCATATGAGGCAACTGAAAACAGCATCGCTTGGGTCAGGCGCACCTTAGTCTCCAAGGTGACGTCTTTGCTTCTCAATACTTTAAAAAGGTCTTTGCAGCAGATTTTCCCAATGTTTTCTTGACTGCTGCTTCCATGGGTGTTGATTGTGGATCCAAGTAAAATGAAATCCTTGACAGCTTCAGTCTTTCTGCATTTATCATGATGTTGCTTATTGGTACAGTTGTGAGGCTCTTTCTTTTCTTTATGTTGAGGTGTAATCCATACTGAAGGCTGTGGTCTTTGACCTTCATCAGTAAGTGCTTCAAGTCCTCTTCACTTTCAGCAAGCAAGGTTGTGTCATCTGCATATCTCAGGTTGTTAATAAGTCTTCCTCCAATCCTGATGCCCCATTCTTCTTCATATAGTCCAGCTTCTCAGATTATTACTGCCAGGGCTCCATAGTGGTTGTAGTAGTAGTAAT